GTGTATATATGTATGATACCAAAGGTGTTGAGAAATCATGCAAGAAAGAAATCTATTCAACTCATTCTGATTAGCATTTCCCAAAAGTGCATTTAATGGAATCCTTTTTTACATAATTACCATAAACATCCACGCACACCTTTCTTTTAAACATACTTTTGGCCGGGCGCGGTGGCTCAAGCCTGTAATCCCAGCACTTTGGGAGGCCGAGGCGGGTGGATCACGAGGTCGAGAGATCGAGACCATCCTGGTCAACAAGGTGAAACCCCGTCTCTACTAAAAATACAAAAAGTTAGCTGGGCATGGTGGCGCGTGCCTGTAATCCCAGCTACTCAGGAGGCTGAGGCAGGAGAATTGCCTGAGCCCAGGAGGCGGAGGTTGCGGTGAGCCGAGATCGCGCCATTGCACTCCAGCCTGGGTAACGAGAGCGAAACTCCGTCTCAAAAAAAAAAAAAAAAACAAACATACTTTTAGGAACAATGGTTTTGATAAATTCATGTCTAAGAAATTAGAATAGATAATAGGTTAACAATATTAATAACTAATAATAGATATTATTATAGGACAGGACACAAGAAATCATCCTTTAAACGAGATACTTGAATCATTCTTCTGCAGCCTGCACTGAATTTGCACATTGTCTGGAGTCAAACTTGGAAAAAATTATTTAGGCAACTAAGACATTTTTATTTTCAGATCTCAGAATAAGTCTGCCACAGACACAAAGATTCCAAGAAGTGGCTCATAATGTCATCCAACAGAAGAGACACTTGGGGAAAAAGGTTGGGGAGTATTATGTTTCGCTGCAAAATTGATTTGTATGCAGTATCTTATTCCTCAAATCTACCTTCAAAAATGGTAGAATCTAATGATCTAATGCCACATCACTACCTCTCCTGTCCTTAACCCGGTCTCCTGATGACAGCAGAAAGCAAGAGAGAGCCAGAATGGAATAAGTGAGCTGTTAACTATAAACTACAAAAACAAGGACTCCTTTTATCTCTGAAAACCAACAAAGTGGTTACTCTGTCACCAAAAAAAAAAAAAAAAAAAAAAAAGGAAATTAATACAATCATCTTGTCCTGAAATTTTCTGCAGAGGTCTCTGGTGTGATTAAAAATGTGGGCAAGGCCAGGCGCGGGTGGTGGGGAAGGCCAGGCGTGGTGGCTCACTCCTGTAATCCCAGGAGTTTGGGGGGTTGAAAAGGGCGGATCAGCTAAGGTCAGACCAGCCTGGTCAACATGGCAAAACGCAGTCTCTACTACAAATACAAAAATCAGCGCAGGCTGAGGCACCAGCATCCCCTGAACCCAGGAGGCGGAGGCTGCGCCACTGTACTCCAGCCTGGGAGACAGAACAAGACTGTCTCAAACAAAACAAAACAAAACAAAAGATGGAGAAAAGGCCCCGTGCAGTGGCTGACACCTGTAATCCCAGCACTTTGGGAGGTTGAGGTGGGTGGATCGTGTGAGGTCAAAAGTTCAAGACCAGCCTGGTTAAACTCTTTCTACTAAAAATACAAAAAATTAGCCAGGTGTGGTGGCACATAATCCGGTAATCTCAGCTACTTAAGAGGCTGAGATGTAAGAATCGCTTGAACCTGGGAGGCGGAAGTTGCAGTGAGTTGAGTTCACCCCACTGCATTCCAGCCTGGGCAACAGAGCCAGACTCATGCTCAAAAAAAAAAAAAACGGAGAAAATGCTAAACTCAATTTCTTCTGAACCTATGCTAAGATGTCAAGGCAGTATGATTCTTCTAGAAAAGCTTTAAGTGGTTATGTTTGGAGTCCTAAAAGCGTACATGGATTTTATGTTATAACCTACATCAAGAAATTCATTCAGGCCAGGCACCTTGGCTCATGCCTGTAATCCCAGCACTTTAGGAGACCAAGATGGGCAGATCATTTGAGCCCAGGAATTCCAGACCAGCCTGAGAAACATGGTGAAACCCTGTTTCTATTAAAAAATACAAAAATTAGGCCGGGCGCGGTGGCTCAAGCCTGTAATCCCAGCACTTTGGGAGGCCGAGGCGGGTGGATCACGAGGTCAAGAGATCGAGACCATTCTGGTTAGCATGGTGAAACCCCGTCTCTACTAAAAATACAAAAAATTAGCTGGGCATGGTGGCGTGTGCCTGTAATCCCAGCTACTCAGGAGGCTGAGGCAGGAGAATTGCCTGAACCCAGGAGGCGGAGGTTGCGGTGAGCAGAGACTGCGCCATTGCACTCCAGCCTGGGTAACAAGAGCGAAACTCTGTCTCTAAATAAATAAATAAATAAATAAATACAAAAATTAGACAGGCATGGTGGCTCACCCTTCAGTCCCAACTACTCCAGAGGCTGAGGCAGGAGGATGCCTTAAGCCCAGGGAAGTCGAGGCTGTAGTGGGCTGTGATCGCACCACTGCACTCCACTGCAGCCAGGGCAACAAAGTGAGACTGTCTCAAAAAACAAACAAACAAACAAAAAACATTCACAGGCATTTTTTTTTAAATGAAAACTAAAATATAATGTAAAACCCAAAGTGCTGAATTTCCTGGAAGACGAATGTTTCCTACTTTGTAATATACTTTGTATATCTCGACTATTACTGTGTATGCAAGCACCTCTAAGAAGTAGTTGTATCGGCAATGAATTCTCAAACCTCAGGGAGCCAAGTAAAAAGGCCAGGCCCAAGGAATTCTTTCAAAAATTAAACTAAATTTCATATTTACTTATTCTAACAGGCAAATAATAAAGAAGTAATCCGCTATAACGCAAAGTTGTAAGCTTAGGGGCCGGGCGCGGTGGCTCACGCCTGTAATCCCAGCACTTTGGGAGGCCGAGGAGGATGGATCACGAGGTCAAGAGATCGAGACCATCCTGGTCAACATGGTGAAACCCCATCTCCACTAAAAATACAAAAAAATTAGCTGGGCATGGTGGCACGTGCCTGTAATCCCAGCTACTCAGGAGGCTGAGGCAGGAGAATTGCCTGAACCCAGGAGGCGGAGGTTGCGGTGAGCCGAGATCGCACCATTGCACTCCAGCCTGGGTAACAAGAGCGAAACTCTGTCTCAAAAAAAAAAAAGAAAGAAAAAAGAAAAAAAGTTGTAAGCTTAGGTGCAGACAAGTGCTGGTTCACAGTGACATTCTATAAGGAATGTTCTGGATAAGAGCTTCAAGCTTGTGTGGTTTTCTGAGGAAAGTGAACGGAATCTAGACGTGTCCTATAGCTCAAAAAATCAATGCTGTGGACCACGGAGCCTGATTAAGAGTAAAATAATACAGTGTGCAGTTCGGCCACTAACAGCAAGAGTGGGAAGGGGCGAAGAGGAACCTCGATCGCCCGACACCAGGGCCGCCTGAAGAGTCATCTTAACACCTTGTCTTTCCATTTTAAGACCGGAAGCTTCAAGGACCATTAAATCGCTGCGGACGCCACGGCAGGCCTGAAGGACCAGAAAGGCTGCGTACACCTGCAGAAGCGACCAGGTGCTCACCTGCCGGGCCAGGAGGCCTGCATCGTCACACCCCGCCCGGGCTGACCTGCTCCTCGGCGATTTTTAGCGTCATCTTCCATCCCTTCCCACCCAACTGGATCCAACCAAGAGCAAGGGCGGGGGAGGGAGAAGCTAGTGTCGCGAGGAAAAGCATTCTCGCAAGCCGCCGCAGGCTTTCTGTCCTTTCTCCTGATTCCACGGAAGAGGCAAAGCCACACCGCCTCTCCTAACCCTCGTCTCTAATGCAAGGCCTGCAATATTTAGGGAAAAAAAAATGACTGTTTTTAAGTAAAAGTAACATCCCTTCTCACTTCCGCCCCTCACCTTCACGAAAGCAATCGGGGTTGTGGTACCTTCGATATCTAACAGGATCACGGTGACTTCGGCGGGCACCGAAAGCACGACCATTTCCCTTCCGGATGCTACTACCGGACTCGGCCTAGTGTTGGGGAGGGCGGAGGGCGGCGGCGCCCGCTGCGGCTGCGACCCCCGGTACAGTCCTGGGCTTCTGATGGCCCAGCGCGCTCTCGGAGCCAGCGACCAAGTGCAGCCTGCCACGCGTGGGGAGAGGACACCTCTGCACACCTGGAACTGGAACTGGAAAAGGCAGCCGCCCAGGAGCCCTGAACTCGTGAGCAGTACTGGGAAGGAGCCCGAGACCACGTGGGCAGGAAAAGGGGCGGCCCTCGCTGGGTTCGGCGGGGCTGGGAGGGTGAAGGCGCCAGCGCCGATTGGCCGCCGTGGGTCCTCAAACGCGATCCGTCAAAATGGGCCTCGCGTGGGCGGGAACAAAGAAGCGAACGCGGGAGCTGGGTACGCGAGCGCGCGCCTTCCGCAGACTGGTTGAGCGAGCTGGAGAGGCTCGGGGCACGTGCAGACGGGAGCCACGCGAGTGGCGCGCCGGGGATGTGAGTGCCCATTGCCTTCTACTGCACCCAGCCCCCTCCCCGCCCACCGCCTCCTACTTTGCATAGATACAGTCACCTGGCCAACTCCCGCCCCTCCTCCCGGCGTCAGCCCTCCACAGAGGTCGCGCTGGGCCCGGGCTTTGGCCGATCTGCTGGGGAGGCCCGCCGCGCCCCCTCGGCCCGCGCGCCCGGGGCCACAGCGGAAGAGGCGCCCGCGCAGCGCTGCCCGGAGGGGCCGTCGCGCGCCCGCTTCCTGTTCGGCTGGTTCCAGCCAGCTCGGGGACAAAACACGCGTGCGCGCGGCGGGCGAGCGCGCTCGCCGCCTCAGACCCCAGCGCCGGGCGCAATCCACCTTTTTCCGGAGCAGCCCGGCCGCGGTGCTAGTCGGTGGCAGCGGCCGCTGCAGCGGCTCCGCACTAGCGAACCGAGGGCAGAAAAAGGCGGGGTTGACGGCTCTTTGGTAGGAGTAGGCTGGACCGGACGCCAGAGACAAAGGCTCCCAAGGCAAGAGGGACTGTGGCCCTGCGTCGGCGCTGCTCGGGACTGCTGACCGCAGGACTTTACGCCCCTTCGTTTTTCTCTTCTGATTCTTCTCTCATCCCAAGCCCGCGTCCCCTCGCGCGTGGCCTCGCTCCTCGCCGGGAGGGCCGCGATGGAGGTCCCGCCCCGGCTTTCCCATGTGCCGCCGCCATTGTTCCCCTCTGCTCCCGCTACTTTAGCCTCCCGCAACCTCTCCCATTGGCGGCCGCGGGCGCCGCGGCAGCTCGCCCCGCTCCTCCCTTCACTCGCTGCCAGCTCCGCCCGGCAGGGGGCGCGCCGGGCCCAGCGCCACGTCACCGCCCAGCAGCCCTCCCGATTGGCGGGCGGGGCGGCTATAAAGGGAGGGCGCAGGCGGCGCCCGGATCTCTTCCGCCGCCATTTTAAATCCAGCTCCATACAACGCTCCGCCGCCGCTGCTGCCGCGACCCGGTCTGCGCGCCAGCACCCCCCTGCCGACAGCTCCGCCACTATGGAGGACATGAACGAGTACAGCAACATAGAGGAATTCGCAGAGGGATCCAAGATAAATGCGAGCAAGAATCAGCAGGATGACGGGTACCGCACGCTTCTTCCCCCACTATCCCTACCCCAGCGCGCCGCACCCGCCCTTCGTCCCTCGGGAGCCTCGCGCCGCCCCCATTCTTTCTCGGAGTCGATTCTCCGCGTGCCCGCTGGGCCCCACTAGCTTGAAGGGAAGAGGAAAGTAAGAGATCCAGGGGGTGACTGGAGAGGCCCGGGAAGAGTGGGGGAAGGGCGGAGGGGTTGGAGGAGGAGGGCGGCGGCGTCTGTGTCCCGAGTGCGCAGGCGCCGCGTGGGACCCAGGGGGGAGGGGCCGGCCTCTCTGCGCCGCACGCTGCAGCGGCCGCCGCCTCTTCATTGTGTCTCTGTTAACACTTGGCGCGGTTTTCCTGGGTAGAGTTTAGAGGACTCTGAGTTCGGGCACAAGCAGGCAGCTGGTACCCAGATTCCCAGAACGTGTTACGATTAATGAGTTCTCTCTGTGGAACGTTGGCTTGACAGCTGAGGACGAGGGTGGACCTAAGATGTGAGGAATTCGTCCTGGAAGTTGGGCTTTCTACTTAAAGGAATCTGGGCAGAACCATTACCATATTTTATTGGTTTTCCTTGAGCTTTGCTTTTGACGGTGCAGAGAGCGATCTGTCCGCTGGTTTGAGTAACTCAGTTGGGATATTGGGATGTTTGTGGTCTGTTTACTTGTGTGACATAGGTTAAATGTAAACAGATTAAGTTCCTAACACGGGATAAATGTTCCTGTTTAAACGATTTAATTAATTCCAGAACTGAAGGAGTCACTTGAGTTACTGCTAAATTTTTTTTAAAAAACTTTTATTTCTAGTAAAATGTTTATTGGAGGCTTGAGCTGGGATACAAGCAAAAAAGATCTGACTGAATATTTGTCTCGATTTGGGGAAGTTGTAGACTGCACAATTAAAACAGATCCAGTCACTGGGAGATCAAGAGGATTTGGATTTGTGCTTTTCAAAGATGCTGCTAGTGTTGATAAGGTAGGAACTGTTTTGCATTGTGCTGCTTTGTGGTATTTTGCAAATTTTTCTGGGGGTTATATGCTGCCGTCAGATTAAATAAGTGTGTCTTGTAGGTTTTGGAGCTGAAAGAACACAAACTGGATGGCAAATTGATAGATCCCAAAAGGGCCAAAGCTTTAAAAGGGAAAGAACCTCCCAAAAAGGTCTTTGTGGGTGGATTGAGCCCGGATACTTCTGAAGAACAAATTAAAGAATATTTTGGAGCCTTTGGAGAGGTGTGTGGTTATGTTTACACATGTGTTTATAAAATGTTCATTCCTGGTCTGTTTCATGTAGGGCAGATTGATGTTTCATGTGAGGGTAGGATTAAATGACTGCTCAAGTTGCTTCCAGACTTTACCTTATTGCTGCTCTCATGGAAGTCCAACTACCTAATTAATTAAGCCAAAACGTGGGTACTTAAATGTGGTCAGTGTTTGGACTGGTTAACTACTGGCATCTTTGGGGTACAAAATAATACTAAAGGATGTTTTACTTTTCTCTCAGTGCTTCAAATTTACAACAACCCACTGTAGGCTGATGTTGATCATAAAGCAGTGCTATTTGTATAGAGGTCATCTTCTAAGAAAAGTTGAAGCTTGAAAAGGATCTGTGGCATTTGGACACTCTGGTAGCATTTTACAATTATGGAATGACCTTGAGTGTGCATCTCGATTTCAGATTGAAAACATTGAACTTCCCATGGATACAAAAACAAATGAAAGAAGAGGATTTTGTTTTATCACATACACTGATGAAGAGCCAGTAAAAAAATTGTTAGAAAGCAGATATCATCAAATTGGTTCTGGGAAGGTAAAGCCATTTAAGTACTTTAAATGAAAATTTTAAGGGGTGGTTGTGTGTGTGAGAGAATTTCTCATCTCAGTGTGTTTGAGAATAATGATTTAACTTTTCAGAACTTCAGTAAAAATTATATTTTTATGTTTTTCAATTTGTTTATAGTGTGAAATCAAAGTTGCACAACCCAAAGAGGTATATAGGCAGCAACAGCAACAACAAAAAGGTGGAAGAGGTGCTGCAGCTGGTGGACGAGGTGGTACGAGGGGTCGTGGCCGAGGTGAGACTTAATTCTTGAAATACGACTCCATGGTTTATTTAAGCTGTATACTGCTAAATATGAGTAATCCTGCAAGAAAGTAACACTTTAAACTTAAAACCAAACTTAAAACCATTCCAGTGGGGGGAAAGTGTTCAGCTTAGTGGGGGTTGTGTGTGGTGGTTTTTTCCTGTGAGCTCACTGGTTTCAAAAAACTTAAAAGTATGGCCACTTTGACAATTAGTGTCGTCAGTGATAGGAAAAGTGTACCCCATTACATGATACACCATGGCATGATAGGTTTTCTTGGGCAGGAGTCCTTGTTTTAAACAGAACAGTGTACCTGTCTTTAGCCTTAATGGAAAATTTAATGATTTGCCATTTAATTTAGGAAGCTTGATACTGGCACAATTGGACTTTCTGCCCCCTTTTTTATAACAGCTGGAAAAATACTTTTTCAAGGAGATAGCAATATGTGTGTCCATTCTGCCCTTTTAAGATTTGCAGAGTGAGGGACAAGAACACATCATTTTATGTTAGAATTGGGGGTCAGAAGTTGTTTCCTAACAATCATTGTGCATTGTTTCAGGTCAGGGCCAAAACTGGAACCAAGGATTTAATAACTATTATGATCAAGGATATGGAAATTACAATAGTGCCTATGGTGGTGATCAAAACTATAGTGGCTATGGCGGATATGATTATACTGGGTATAACTATGGGAACTATGGATATGGACAGGGATATGCAGACTACAGTGGTAAGAATATTTAACTTAATTTTATAAACCAATGGCATTAAAATTCAGTGTTAACATACAATCTCATTCTGAAATTGTGTGTATGGGCTTTCCATTAATTAAAGTGTTTGGAGTTAATTATTTGAATCATGTTACAATCATAGAGTGATTGTACTAACTGGTGGTTATAAATATACTAGGATGTATTACTTATGACTAGGTTATAATGGGTACTAAAATATACTTTAATATTTTTATTTAGCATGCAAAGATTTTAATAGTTTCTTAATGCGTTTGTAAAGAAACAATTTTGTAGAAAACTACCTTAATGAAATTTGTCTTCCCAAAATAGGCCAACAGAGCACTTATGGCAAGGCATCTCGAGGAGGTGGCAATCACCAAAACAATTACCAGCCATACTAAAGGAGAATATTGGAGAAAACAGGTGTGTGTAAGAGTACGGGAAAACAGTAGAAATGTCTAATTTAATTTAAAGATCAATAGACAAATGAAACGTAAAAACAAAATATAACGTAGCCTGTTTTTACTAAATTGTTGATTTTTTTAATTGCTTTATGAGCCTGTTTTGCCTAAAGTGTCTATAGATCTTTAACTTTAAAGTCTTATCTCACTTTCTTTAGTATTGCAGAAAAACTTAAGAGTTTTTCTGTTTGCTTTTGTGTACCAGGTGGTCTAGAGGAATAATTAAACATTTTAGAACTATTAACAGGTAAAGTACTGAAATGGGTACAACTTAAGGAAAACAAGAATGTTGTCTTCTAACTCTGACATTATACCTTGTTTGTACCCGCCAGCGGGAACTTCATTGCAGGCCGTGTGTCACCCTGACCACGTCTATCTCTGGGGGTCGCACGTTGCGGGCAGAGCGCAAGGCATACACCAGAAAACGCTGTCCTGTGGTATGGTCTCTTCCAACTTCATGTACCAGCGTAAAGATTAAAGTGGAAAACTTCAGACTTTGGCTTCTTTTTTAATCTTTTTGGAGATTAAGTGTCTAAACTTAACTTAAATGGTTTTTTACAGGAGTTAAAGTACATAAATGCCTTTTTACAGCTTAATCATTTTGGTCTTCTGTTTAGTGTTGTATTTCAATTGTGGAGCCTCATTTTAAGTGTTCATTCTTTTAAGATTTAATGCTTGCTTTTTCTTTTTATAGCTAATAGTGAAATCTACAAACCAAAACAAGAACTTTTAAATCTGGGATGTAAATTAAAGATCATATGCACAGATCAATTTATGTTCTTGTAATAAACTTATTAGAAATTGGTGTTTATAATAGCATTTTGCTTGGGTTACTAGAGATGCTTCTAGTAGACCTTAATCTAGCATAGTTGAACTTTTGAATATGGGAAGATTGTATTCCCAGATTCTTTCTTGAATAGATTTGAATTTAATATCATTTGGGAACTCTAGGGTGAGTTTAAAACTACCCAGACTGTATTTTGCTAATAAATATGCATATGATCTTTAATTATTGAAGAAAAGAATAAAGTGAGGACTTAAAACAATTCATGAAAATGGACCTTTAAAAGCTTGTCAGAGTTGCACAAATCTAATTGTTATTTTGTTTTTGTTTTTAGGAGGAGTTGTTAAAGTAACCCATCTTGCAGGACGACATTGAAGATTGGTCTTCTGTTGATCTAAGATGATTATTTTGTAAAAGACTTTCTAGTGTACAAGACACAATTGTGTCCAACTGTATATAGCTGCCAATTAGTTTTCTTTGTTTTTACTTTGTCCTTTGCTATTTGTGTTATGACTCAATGTGGGTTTGTTTATACACATTTTATTTGTATGATTTCATGTTAAACTTCAAATAAATGCTTCCTTATGTGATTGCTTTTCTGTGTCAGGTACTACATAGCTCTGTAAAAATTAATTTAAAATAAGCAATAATTAAGGTACAGTTGATTTTGTAGGGAGTATTGGTCCATAGGGAGAAACTGTGGTCCTTTATAAATAGCCAACATCATTCTCTTCCCCAATTTGTAGATATATTCTATGATCTTAAGCCTTCATCTTCTCCCTTGTGAATGAGGTTTTTACCACACCTTTGAATAATGTTCTTTCCCCTCTGGTTATCTGAAGACTGTCCTGAGAGGAAGACATAGTGTTGTGATTAGGAGAAGCTTTCTAGTAGACCATGTTTCTTCTGGATTGTAATAAAACTGTTAGTGGCTCCTTTTGCTTTGTTCTGGAAAGCCATTTTTGAGTTGCTAATTACTTTGGATTTAATCAGTGGTCACCTAGAAAAAGCTTTGTAATCGTAACACCATGACTTTTTTTCTTGATAAAAATTCACATGCACACAGGAAGGAGCACTGTAAAACTAGTAGGAGCTATGATTTAAGACCATCGAAAGTAGTGAGTAGTTACAACTCAAGGATTTTGGCAGAAAGATGTGACTGGGCAAAAGTTAGATTCAGATTTGAAATAGTGGCAAAATAAGATTTAATTATATTCTGTTTTCTCACAGCTACCACAAGACAACAAAACATTTTCTGTTTGGGCATTCTGAGGAAGTTGTATTATAGTTAACTGTTAATGTTTTGTGAGTATAGAAGTCATGGTAGTAAGTCTAATTTTTAACCGTGCATGAGTACATTTCCATATTCAGAAATGGAAATAGTGGAAAAAGTATCTTAGGTGTGTCAGTCCAAATGTCACCGAGTCTACAGTGGACCTTCCTGGTGCATTGAGAAGAAACTCATATCCAGGTTTCAGAGGACCTGGATAAATGCTTTGAATTTTGCATTCAGTGTAGTTTTAGATTTGGGGAATTTTGCCTCAAAGTTAGCTACTGGGATTGGCATACATGTTCACAGGCAGAGTAGCTGATCTCACACAATGGGTGATCTCAACTGGCTTAAGTTTCTTATGCTGGTGAGCCCCCCCCCCTTTTTAATTTGGTGCCTACAACCTTGATACAATGATTGTAATTGTTGGCCTATCAAGTTACAACGTTCTTGGCCTTTTTATTGCTGCTGTTTTGCTGTTTGTCTTGACACCTAGGCCAAGTACCAGTGTTAGCTGTTGGAAGGGATTCTGTTCTTCAACATGCAACTTTAGGGAATGGAAGGAAGTTCATTTTTAAGTTGTGGTGTTAGTAGGTGCAGTGTCTACAGGTAGTGAATCCTGTAAGTTCAAATTTATGGTTAGGTGACAGGTTGACATTGAGATTGTCCTTTTCCCTAATAAAAAAATAAAGACTTTTTAAACAAAATCCAAACTTTTAATCAAGTCTTGATATGTATGAGTGAGAAAACATCTAGAAGTGATTGAGATGTTTTTACAAAGAATTGGAGGCGGGGTGAGAATGCAGTTGGTTTTTCTTGCAGGGACTTTGAATTCTAGGTTTAATTCAGTTTTTAAGGACAATCAGTTCAACTGATGAAAATTTGAAATAGACACTAAAAAGGCTGTAGGTGTCCTAGACACTTCTGATTGGATGGAACTGTGAAGCTAGTGTCAAGATCTAATTCCTAAGAATTAATGTAGAATTAAGTAATTGGACAAGTGTATTGGGGAGAGGGGATAGAATATTGAATTCTGTATCTATAACAAACACTCGGTTTGTATGTTTTTATACATCGAATTTGCCTTTTGAATTGTTTAGACCAAATTCTGTGTGATGTTATCCTTGGGAAGGGTGGATAGAAATGAATTCTAAAGTACTATAACAAATAATTGAGTTTGAATATGATTCTATACAACATACTTGCTTTTTGCATTGTTTAGACCCAAATTCTGTGTTTTCCTAACAAAAGGCCTTAGTGTTTCCATTGGTTGACATGTTAATCTGTAATCTGAGCCACTTTTATAAGATGAGGACTATTTAAAAATGAGATGGTCTGTTGGGATGCTAGCATGGATAAGCAGAGCTTATTCCATTATTATTCAGTGTATCTATTTTCATAATGGCAGAGATCCTTAATCTTCACAAAATTTAATAAAAGGGCATATCTGAACAATTCAGCCACCTTCCATTACCAAGATTTGATTTAATGTCAGTCAGATGCTATGCTGTGTGGTGTAGTTCATGCCTGTAATCCCAGCACTTTGGGAGGCCAAGGCAAGTGGATCACTTGAGCACAGCCTGGACAACATGGCAAAACCCTGTCTACAAAAAATACAAAAACTAGCTCAACTTTGTGGTGCATGCCTGTAGTCCCAGCTACTTGGGCTGAGGCGGGATAATTGCTCGTGCCAGGGAGGTGAAGGGTGCAGTGAGTCATGTTCATGCCACTGCACTCCACCCTGGGAAACAGCGAGACAAAAAATCACAGGCCATTAAACTTAACCAATTAAAAAGTTGACTAGGCTGGCGAGCGCAGTGGCTCATGCGTGTAATCCTAGCACTTCGGGAGGCCGAGGCAGGTGGATGGCTTGAGTCCAGGAGTTGAAGACCAACCTGGACAATATGGCAAAACCCCAACTCTACTAAAAATACAAAACTTAGCTGGGCATGGTGGTATGTTGAGGTGGGAGGATCACTGGAGTCCGGGAGATGGAGGTTGCAGTGAGCTCTGCACTCCAGCCTGGGCAAAAAAGTGAGAACTCAAAAAAAAAAAAAGGTTGACTAAGGCCAGGTGTGTTCAGCTGCAGTTGAGCTATGATGGCTGCATTGCAGAGACAGAGTGAGATCCTGCGTTATAGACGTCTGTGTGTACCGTTTGAATTGATTCTGTGTTGAGTAGTTAGTGTCATTCTAGAAGAAACCCCACTTTCCTTAAACTTTCAGCCTAATTGGAGTTGGCATCTAATCTTGGTTTTCAACTTTTAAGCAAAAACAATGCAAATTCTGTATCTTTTTAAATAGTCACTAGAAAATAATGCTTATGAAAATATAGGCTGTTCTTTTAGGATTGGTTGGGGTCTTACATTTGCCTTGAAATAGGTTTGATGTGGAATTTCAGCAAGATTTAGTTAATAGGAAAAAAATAAAAATACAACCTTTGACTTTACTACTTTTTATAAAACAGTAGGAAAGGATATAGTGATGTTCTGGGTATTACGGAGTAATGCTGAACATTCTAAAGAGCTTAACTCCGGCTGCTCCTTTTTTTTCCCCCGCCCCTCAACAAAATTGAGCTTGGAATTGTGCTACTCTTTTTTTTCCCCCCGAGATGGAGTTTTGCTCTCGTTGCCCAGGCTGGAGTGCAGTTGTGCAATCTCAGCTCAAAACCTTCGCCTCCTGGGTTCAGGCAATTCTGTCTCAGCCTCCTGAGTAGCTGGGATTACAGGAGTCTGCCACCATGCCTGGCTAATTTTTGTATTTTTAGTAGAGATGGGGTTTCGCCACATCGGTCAGACTGGTCTCTAACTCCTGACCTTGGGTGATCCACCAGCCTCAGCCTCCCAAAGTCCTGGGATTACAGGCATGAGCCAATCCTCTCCGCCAGAATTGTGCTATTCCTGAGTGTCAGTTTAATCTCTGGTGTTACCCATCTGTTAGTACTCAAAGAGATGTACCCATTTGGGGAGCTGTATCATAAACTTGGAGGGTAGTGAGGCTAAAGTGTAGTTTGAAAAAGTATATTCAGCCGGACACGGTGGCTCATGCCTGTAATCCCAGAACTTTGGGGAGGCTGAGGCGGGTGGATCACCTGAGGTCAAGAGTTCGAGACCAGCCTGGGCAACATGGTGAAACCCCGTCTCTACTAAAAATACAAAAACTAGTCAGGCATGGTGAAAGGTGACCGTAATCCCAGCTACTTGGGAGGCTGAAGCAGGAGAATCACTTAAACCCGGGAGGCAGAGGTTGCAGTGAGCTGAGATAGTGCCACTGAACTCTCCAGCCGGGGCCACAGAGTGAGACCCTGTCTCAGGAAAGAAAAAAAAAAAAGAAAAGAAAAAAGCATATTCAACATAGTCTTGTCACTTAAAATCCAAATAATCAAAAAAGCTGACTTTGATTTCTCAAAGACCAGCACAAGCTAGAAACTTCAAGAAACTTTACATGCAGGCAAGTTTTTCTCATACTACTACAATGGTAATCTCCTTTTGGGAATCTGACCAAAAGTGAATTCTCTTCAGACCCAAAAATTGCATGTCTGTAAATACTTTCAGTGTAGTTTCAGGAAAATTAGAAACTTAGAACTATCTGGGAAGGCTCTTGTAGTTGTTGGCTTTTATGGTAACAAACTGACTAAAATTGATTGAATTTGTTGTAGTTGATGAGATTTCACAAAGGGAGTTTCTTCATATGTTCTCCACCTACCACCTGGGTATTTGTCTTGGCTGGTGAACACTCATAAAAGATGGTTTTATTGGCCGGGCATGGTGGCTCAAGCCTGTAATCCCAGCACTTTGGGAGGCCGAGGCGGGTGGATCACGAGGTCAAGAGATGAGACCATCCTGGTCAACATGGTGAAACCCCGTCTCTACTAAAAATACAAAAAATTAGCTGGGCATGGTGGCACATGCCTGTAATCCCAGCTACTCAGGAGGCTGAGGCAGGAGAATTGCCTGAGCCCAGGAGGCGGAGGTTGCGGTGAGCCGAGATCGCGCCATTGCACTCCAGCCTGGGTAACAAGAGCGAAACTCTGTCTCAAAAAAAAAAAAAAAAGAAAAAGAAAAGAAAAGAAAGTGTTTTATTGATGACAGGGTCTCACTCTGTCACCCAGGCTGGAGTGCAGTGGTGCCATCATGGCTTACTACAGCCTCAACCTCCTGGGCTCAACCAACCCTCCCACCTCAGCCTCCCAAGTAGCTGGGACCACAGGCAAACACCTCCACGCCTAGCTAATTTTTTTTATTTTTAGTAGAGATGAGGTCTTGCTATATTGCCCAAGCTAAAGGTTATTTATTTATTTGCCTTAGAGACAGGGTCTCACTATGTTGCCTAGGCTGGTCTTGAACCCTTCAGGCTCCAGTGATCTTCCCGCTTACGCCTCCCAAAGGACCAGGATTACCAGCATGAGTCAACATGCCCAGCTTTAATCCCCTAATTTTAAATTGGGGAAGTCAGCTAATTGAATGCACCAATGCTGATTACATTCAGGAGTCTATTAAACTATAAAACTCCTATCAGGCATACTTGAGGCTTTAAATGTTAATACTGATCAGTAATCTTTAATACACTTGGTTTCTCAGTGTTGAGATCTATTGTAGCAAAGTAAGACTGTATTACAATTGATCCATTCTTGTTCCTCTAAAGGAATTTGAGCCTGGATAATCTGGAGCAACTGCTCTTCCCATGAAAGACATGGCCTATGAAATTGACTCATTATTTAGATTGCCCTTGAACCATGAAACATCTGGGGGCCATAAATGTTTTTCATAGACAGTGGAAGCAGAGGAATGAAAGGAGGATGTGAGTAGTGGGGATTAAGTTGTATTATAGAATAGTTTCAATATTTCATCACCAGGAAACCCTTTAAATATCTTCTCCCCGTAGACAATGTTTTGAATGGCTTTACTTGTCAAATATATTGCTCTCATTATATAATAATAACATTTCTATTAATCAAAGGTATAATCCACATCATACCAAGTTGATTTAGTGGCAGCCAAATCAAGAATATTTTTGTTAACTTGTGTACATTTTTTAAATGACATGTAATGTATAACGGGCTTTTAAAATATTAAAAACACTGGCTGGGCATGGTGGCTCATGCCTGTAATTCCAGTACTTTGGGAGGCCAAGGCAGGCAGATTATTTGAGGCCAGGAGTTCGAGATCAGCCTGGCCATCATGGTGAAACCCTGTCTCTACAAAAAATACAAAAATTAGGCATGATAGTGCACACCTGTAATCCCAGCTAGTCAGGAGGCTGAGTCAAGAGAATGGCTTGAACCTGGGAAGCAGAGGTTGCAGTGAGCCAAGATTGTGCTACTGCACTCCAGCCTGGGTGACAGAGCAAGATTCCATCTCAAAAAAAAAAAAAAAAAAAAAAAAAACCAAAGACAAAAAACAGAATAAGCAGCAACATTTCAAGAGGCTTAAAATTTTCCAGAAGTGACAAAAGACAATCTACAAATTCAATATACCCTACAAATTGCAATTAGGAAAAATAAGAAAAATCTCCATGAAGATGCACTATGGTAAAACCAAAAAAACCAACCAACAAACAAATATCAGTAATCAGGAAAGAAAGAAAGGTACATGTTAAACTACCATGAAGATGCAACCATCCAAATTTAAAATGTGGAAAATTCATAAGAATGTCCCATTTCTTCAACAAGTAGTTGACATGAAAAGAAGTGGGAAATGTAGGCAGAT